CAGGCACTTAACCTCCAGCAACGGACACCGCATGATATACCAATATGCACCCCTTAATCCACGGTATGGCTCTTGGTGAGGGCTTGTGAAGTCCAGGCTCCCGGATTCCCCACAGACCGGGGAGCGGGGCTGACAAGTCAGCCGCCTCGCATGCCTCGAAAGCCGGCCCACCAACCTGAGGCCGAGGGGGGCGGAGGCACTCACCACCCGTCTTCCCTAACCGCCCGGGGCAAGCCATACTGAGGTCGGGGCTACGAGGAATCGGAAGACGTGGAGACGAGCGTTGCGGGGCCTCCGTCGTGGACCAGCTCGTTCCCCGCAGGCTTGGAAGGAGGGCGAGGGAGAGGGGCACCGCTGCAGAGCAGCTCGACAGAGCTAAGGCGCGAAGACATCACCGGAGGAGAAAAAGAAGTGAAGTCAGGTTCGTTTCATAACTGGCCGGTGTTACTAAATTTGTTTCAGACACGCAGTTTTGCTGGCGTCTCCTTTAAATTCCTAACTCTGCCGTATGGATGCCCGTCATAACGAGAGGAAAAAAAGTTCAGATACGTGCATTTGCAAGAACACTTGCCAAGAAACGGCTCGCACACATACCTGATAGACGTTGCATTCTGACCTGTGAGGAACGTTTCCTCTCCCGGTTGTCTTCACAGCATCAATGGCAGTGATGGTCCAGCTCTTGGGAGTGACTTGGATTTGAAATCTTGCCTCTTGTTAGATCCCGAACACACACACACGATCGCTGCACACAATATTCGATCAACTGAATACTACTATTCTTGCTCCCTATTTGAATTAGTTTCTTCTTCCTCATTATGACTGCTCCAGGCTCTTCTCTGCTGTTTATGGTGATAGTTGCTTCCTTACTGGTTACCATTCCCAGATCCATCTTCCCCAAAGGTGACTTGCATCACCCCTAGAGGCCTGGTATGGCTACAAATAACCAGGACCTCTTTTCCCAACTGGGCCAAGGATATTCTGCTCACCTTGAAAATAAGCTTTATAGGAAAAGACACAAAATAATAAAAAAATGACAAACATGGAAAGGAAAAGACACAAAATAATAAAAAAAATGACAAACATGGAAAGCTAAACTGTCAAAAACCTTGGCACAATTTTAAGTCATTATATTTCAAATATTTGAAATATATATTTCAAATTTTAAGTCATTATATTTCAAATATTAGAAATAGCAAAGCATGTTAAAGTATGAAAGTGAACTTAACTTAGCAAAGCATGTTAAAGTATGAAAGTGAACTTAAGATTTCACTCTGTATTCTAGAGCCTGGTCCTCAATTTGAAGAGACAGAAACTTCAAGTTGTTAGCCCTGTTAACGTAAAAATATACAAACCTGTACAGAATTTTTGTGAGTTTATTTGAGCCAAACTGTCAACAATTGCCGGGAAGCAGAATCTCAACGGATTGGGATAATGCTCCAGAGAATGGTGGTTTTTCATCTATTTTTATACATTGCAATCAAAGGAGGAGACGTAGGTGGGTTACATGAAATCCATTGGTGATAGATTAGAGAGGCGGGAGAAAGCAAAGTGGGGAACCCTCTGGGATTGGATAAAGAGTAAAATGATAGACACATACTTCTTTTACTTAGCTGGGTACAGGATAATTAACAGTCAATAATTAACATGATAACAATAACAAGGAATTTGTGGTCTCCTGTCCTGGCACCCAGGGCATTTGGTTGTGGCCTGAGGGATCCCGAAAAAGGGAAGTTACAAGTTACCCTGACATTTCAAGGATATGTTACCGTAGATGCAAAAAGACAGACTCAGTTAAAGTAAAGCTTGATCTTGTCCGGGAAGATACCAGCCTAGGAGGTATCTACCCACCATAACTGCTTTTAGTTAAAGTTTAATTTCCAACCATCCTTTGTGGTTACTTTAGGTTTGAGTTTGCAAGACTGCCATGCAGGCCTTCCATGAGCTTGTCAGGTTAGCATGTGGCCCCTTTAGTCCATAGCCCTCAGAGCTAATTTAAATCCAGGGGGATGATTCATGCCAACCAAACTTACTAGAAGCTGATATATAAAACAAAATCCCAATTTATTCCTTTTTCTTTCGTGAAAAACATAACTGCCATGAAGACCAGAAAACTCTGGTTGACACATTGTCACTCAAAAGGAACATTTACATGAGAATCCAAAATACAAAGGATGTCTGATGACTATGAAATCAACACACAGGAAGTAATTTGGATGATTTGACTTCTCTATCCCTTGGCTTCTAGAACATTCGTCTCTTGGTTCTCTTGACTTACTGTCTACACCTCATTTTTTAAGAGTTTCTCTTCCACTGATTTGTATTTTCTGCCCCTTTCCATTCTGTACTCACTGTCTAAGTCTCCTGATAGTACTCATTCTCCTTAAGTGAGATCATGCTCCACACAGTTCTGAGTGTAATGGATATAGGTGATTTCCCAGCTTCCATTCCACAACTCTGTTCTCTTCACTCATGCAATGTGGGTGGAATTACCACCCCCACCCACAACTCCAAAAATGATCCCACCAGCCTAAAACTATCAGAATCACCCGTACCTCCCTTTGAATCAGTTTTTGTTTCAAACGCCAATCAGAGTGAAGCACAGGACTTTTGTGTCAACAAAAGAGAAGTGTTTTCTTTCTCCGCATGATATGGTGTTCAAATGTGAATACTGGAAGAGTTACAAACTTTTTTCTTTTTTGCTACTTGGGAGAGCCAACTGAGAATAAGACTAACATGTGAGGGAGGGAGAGCTGGGTGAATAAATCATTGGGAACGGAAGTCAATCCCTGAGATCATAAATTTTCAAATCAAACCCAACATGAACCCATTCTACCTCTAGACTTCTCTGTTATACGAGCCAATAAATTCCCTCTCTGTTTAAGCTGAAGGAGTCCAGAATAAGACACTGTAGCATAAAAATTATTTTTAGCTAAAGGCATTTGAATTCCTGAAATATCTTATCTGCCTTAAAGGCAGAGCCTCCCCACAAAAAAACAAACAAACTCAATTATCTTAAATCTCCTCCCAGGGAGCAACTAGGAAAGGTTGATTCATATCTTTAGAAACCATAAGAATTGTCACCACACCTAAACCACAACATTGTCACAAAACAACATATCTCTAATCTATTCCCCTAATGGCCCATTTATCTTTCCTAAAAGTTTCTTGTTTTCCCTCTTTCCCCCTTCCACCTAAAAAGTGTTATGTTTTCACATCTCCTTTTACCCCTCCCCTTCACCTATTGAAAGGATATATAAGCCCCCAATTCTAATCACCCCTGTGAATCACATTTCTTTGTGAACTCCCCTACATAGTATGTGATTAAAATATTTTTTTCTCTTGCTAGCCTGTCTTTTGTCAGTTTAATTCACAAGCCTCCCCAAACTAAATCTAAGAAGGTAGAGGAAAAGATTTTCCTTTCTGACAAAGCTTATTTGAGTTGGGTTTTCTGTTCCTGCAACTGAAAGGAACTGTGGTGTAAAGAATGATAAATATTTACCATCTTATTTTTTCTTGTGTACCCAGGAAACCCACAGTTCCTAGCTCCCTTACTTCTACATTCTGGCCAGTGGAATGTAGACAGAAGCAATGGTTGCCCAATCTAAGCCTGACCCTCAAAACTTCAGTGATTTATACGTAGTTCCTTTCTGTTGTTTATACATCAGTCTGCCAGATATAGAAAACTAAGGCTGAGGAACTAAGGGATGACAGCAAGAAGAGATGGAAGGACACTGGGATTCTTTTTCTTTTTATCCTCACCTGAGGATGATATCCTTTCATTAATAAGAGAGAGAGAGAGAGAGAGAGAGAGAGAGAGAGAGAATGAGAAAACTATCAATGTGAGAAAGAAACATTGAGAGGTTGCCTCCTACACACATCCCAACCAGGGATTAAACTGGCAACCTAGCTATGTGCCCTTTCTTGAAATCGAATCTGCAACATTTTGGTGTATGGGATGATACTCCAACCACTGAGCCACCCAGCCAGGGCAACACTGTTATTCTTTTTTTTTTTTTTTAATATATTTTATTGATTTTTTACAGAGAGGAAGGGAGAGGGATAGAGAATTAGAAACATCGATGAGAGAGAAACATCGACCAGCTGCCTCCTGCACACCTCCTACTGGGGATGTGCCCGCAACCAAGGTACATGCCCTTGACCGGAATCGAACCTGGGACCTTTCAGTCCGCAGGCCGACGCTCTATCCACCGAGCCAAACCGGTTTGGCAACACTGTTATTCTTAACTAGAGGCCCAGTGCACAAAAATCTGTGGGGGGTGGGAGAGCGATCCCTCAGCCCAGCCCACACCCTCTCGCAATGCGGGACCCCTCAGAGGATGTCCGAATGCCAGTTTAGGTCCGATCCCACAGGGATCCCTGAGGGATCGGGCCTAAACTGGCAGTTGGACATCCCTCTTGCAATCCGGACCACTGGCTCCTAAGCGCTTACCTGTTTGCCTGCCTGATCACCCCTAACCACTCTGCCTGCCTGCCTGCCTCATCGCCCCTAACCACTTGCCTGCCTACCTGCCTGATCGCCCCTAACAGCTCGCCTGCCTGTCTGATTGCCCCTAACTGAATTATGGTACCTATTTGCTTTGTTTAACAATGGACAGGTTATTTTGATTTTCTGAATTATATAAATCATCCCATTCGATCAAATGCGTTATTGATTGTAATGTGAATATCCCATGGGTTGTGGTCATACTGGTCTTAGAAAGCACATTTTTCCTTCACCTGGGAAGGACAGCACAGTTATCCCAAGGTCAGAGGGCTCTAGACCCAAAACTGTAATTTAGATAAACCCAGGTTACCCAAGGGCTCTAGACCCAAAACTGTAATTTAGATAACATGCCTAAGTTTAACCCAGGTTACCCAAGGGCTCTAGATAATGTGTTTATAACATGCTGTTTAAACTGCTTTTTGCAAACTAGGTTCCTCATTCCAGACCCCAGGACTCTAGATAATGTATTTCTGTCAATTCAGTGACCCCGAGACAACAAAACTATAATTAACATGCTTAATTCTGCTTCTGTAAACTGCTTCTTTGCAAACCAGGTTCCTCATTCCAAACCTTGAGATGTAATCAATACCTTTGTGATCTTTGCCTATATAAGTCTGGTTTTGCCAACATCTTATGACTATGAGATTTGGGAATGGCCCCTCATAGTCCCGGATTGCAATAAATGTGACTCTTTAATTCGACTTCTTGAGGCGTCCTTCTGTGATTCGCGGGGTACATTACAACATAACCACTCTGCCTGCCTGCCTGCTCACCCCTAACCACTCACCTGCCTGCCTGCCTGATCACCCCTAACCACTCGTCTGCCTGCCTCATTTGCCCCTAACCATTCTGCATGCCCGCCTGATCACCCCTAACTGTTATGGGTTCAATCAGCGAGATAGACCACCGACTCAGAA